AGTATACCGACAGCGCGAATCAAGATGACCCGAAACGGCCGATCCCACCGCAGTGCTTTTTGGCAGTTAAAAGTACCCGATCGAGCTGAGATCAAGATGGTGAGCGGGAATAAGATCGAATATCACGGGAAAAAATACTAGAGCTCTAACGAATGGTTGAATTTCGAGAACAAAATTTTCAACCGACCAAAATTCCTCAAAATGTCCGTCGCGATTTTTCTTGCCAACTTGGTAGCGTCCACTTGGCAGCGTCCAAAAACCAGAGAGCAAAGAGAACTGGGTGCCGGCGCTAAACCGTCAACCTTTGTTTTTGCGTATTGCGTGCCGCCACAGCAGGGTCGGGTCACCGCCCAGGCGATAGCCACACAGGGAGGCCTAGTATCCTGCCAAATTCAGGCATTCCTCCACTCCCAAAAGGAGTTGTCGGGCAGACTCTAACTCAGCTGCAGTAATAGTGCTCGAGGGGGGGAGGAGGAAAGAGGAAGAGGCCACGTTGGGCTCCCACACGCCACTCGGAAGAGTGACAGGATATTCAGCAACAGAAGAAGAGCACAAATGAAAATCAATCTGCCAGCCACAGCCTACGCCCAGATAGGATCTTCCACCATCGAAGCTTCCCCGAATGGCGTCGATCAGAATAGCGTTAGCTTTAACATGGGATAGGAAATCATGCCTAAAACGTGTTCTACAAATGCCCTGCCTAGCTCTGTGTGTTAACTCATCCGCAGCAGTATTGTCCTCTCTGTATACCCACTTGAAGATATGTCTCCCAAGACAGGCCGCCTGCACACCACATCTCTTAGCTAGAATGTCTAACTTATTCTGGATGCCGCCCACAATCTTGTCATAATGCACATTGGCAGTAAAGTACAAACCTTGAATCCACCTCACAACGCATTGAGAATCTCCCTTCAGTTCAACGGCAATCCTTCCCACCTGGAACTCCCACTCCGTGTAATCCTCCAATATCTTAGCATATCGTTTGGACAACACCTCCTCCTTCTTCCTGCTAAGCTCCTCCGAAAGTACCTCCTCCTCCCTCTCTTCCATAGGCTTCCAAGGGATAGGATCTTTAAGAACCAGGAAATCAGAAACACCAGGAACCTGAAGAAGCATAAAAACTTGACGAGCGAACTTGACCCAGGCCTCCTCTGTCCATTCCAGAACATGGTACCAGTACTTCCCTCCCACAAGCTCAAAGGGTGTTCTCCACGGGCGCATGCCGATAGGAGCTCCGCCAGTCCTCACACGAGTCCCAGCACGTCCAGCCTGGCTTCCTAAAGATAGTATCAGATCATCCCGCCTGGATTCCCACTCCCCTCCTCCGTGCAACATGGACAGTCGTGCCTGCAGGTAGCCGTTGACAGCAGTGCCCGTGTCCACCACCGTGGGCTGATTGTAATAGCGGGTTGGGTCCTCGAACGTGTCTCTGAGTCTCGCCGTGTTCTGAGAAAGTGGGGTCCTCTGACGTTTGGCCTCATTCATGCACAACGTTTTTCTTTTCCGTCGGTTCATGGGCTCAGAGGGCGTCGTATCATTAGCAGGAGCACCAGGAGCATGCAATGAAGGCGGCACCAATTGTGAGCCGCCCACCACAGAAATCTCCTCCACGCCTCCTCCGCCCCTGCCAAAACAAGACAATGCAATATCCTTCGCCCATTTCCACTGCCGATATAGGAAGACCTGTGCAAGTGGAGGTCTGCCAGCTTCATAAAAAGCTTGCCTCCCTCTTTTGTACATGCGCGACATGAATACAGCCCACCCCTCCTCCTCCCTCTTAGCTCTCCACGTCATCCTGCTCAACATCTTCCCCTCCTCCTTGTGTATAAATGCAATCGTAGAACTGTCAACAGTGGCTCCTTCCAAGCCGAAAAGAAACTTAGATCTCACTCTAGATTCATATCGTGCAAATTTATTCTTCCAAGCAATCCTCCTGGAGGTGTAAAACGCTCGATCATTCCAGAAAGCACGAATAGCTTTTGCCATACGGTATCGCACATCAACATGATCCTTGAAATTCCTCGCAATCTTAGTCCCCAGCACAATAATTTCATCCACCTGCGGTATAGTGATGTTCTCAGGGAGAGACACATTGGGCCCCCTGGACATACCTGGCGGGAACAACGTCACCATAAGAGGCTCCGTCACACCGGTGGTAGAACCCACGTCCATAAACTCAAGACTGCTCTGCTTCCAACGAAAGCCGTGGTCGTGGAAAGCCCACGTCAACTGTAGAATCATTTTAGCCAATGTGGGGCGATCAGGAGCCGTGAGCAGCACGTTGTCCGCCCATATGAAGTGACTCACAACAATACCTCCTGCTTCACCCGAGAGTACAACACCGACAGCATCTCTCGCCCAAGCAGACGTAACGTCACCGAACATGACCAGGGATTGAGCAGTCCACAGATCAGGTCCTTCCTTAGAACCTGTCTTCACACACGTTGTCCAAGGGAGTGTATCAGTGCAGACACCCTCGAACTGAAAGACCGCCTCATTACCAACAGAGTTCTCAATAAGACCATACCGAAGCTCCACATCAACACTCAAACGCTCAAGTGTAGAAGACGCAACTTGGACAGTGAGCGAGTCAAATGCAGTGGCAACATCCAGGGACGCAACAACAATATTCTCCTCCTTCCCCCACAGTCTGGCATGTCTGCACATCGCCTTCAATCCCGACGTTACCTCATGTGTCTTACGACCTTGCTGAAAACCATACAACACAAAGACGGAGCAACAACAGGAGCAATAGACATCAAATGCGAATTGAGTAGAATACACAAGCAGCCCATGTACCATGTGTTCACAACAGAATTCACCGCAAGAGTACGACTGTCATCAAACCTCTTATCCTTGCCGTTCTTCAACATAATAGATGCACGGATGAACTTCCAAGACTCAGGTGCCTCTGCCATTCGCCAGAAGCGTCGCTGGAAGCAGTCAAGCACCACACGAAGTGCTTCCCAGGACAACGAACGTAACATGCGTGCACTGATACCATCAGCACCTACCGCCTTGCCTTCCCGAAGCCTGGAACGAGCACGACAGAGAACATGCATGGTAATAGGAGAAGAAGTGTGAGTGCTGCGCGCACGTGCCTCGTCAGCTTGGACCCGAAGCTGCTCCAGAGTCGCCATATTCATAGCAAGACGTTCCGACTTAGAGTACTTAGCCCTGACCACCCTCGTCATATCCTCCTTCCACTTACTGCGGTCTTCACACCATTCCCCGTCGATCAACATAGAGTTAGTAGCAGTCTTAGTCTTGACCCCATCCCGATAACGATAAAGAAGTAGACGTTTCATGAACTGCCTTCGAACACGATTCCAACGACGACGACTATCCTTGAACGTAGCTTCATCGATCTGACCAGATTTCCAGAGTTTGTGGACTCTGTAGTGGGCCTCTTTCACCTGAGCTTCCTCCTGGGTCAACTTCGGGATGAGCGAGGCCGATTTAAAGCCATAACAGCGTTTGTCGGCGACAGCCCCCTCCTTCAATCGTGATTCCAGGTCGGCTAGAGAAATGGATCTCCACCTAGTATGCCAGATCACCCTTCCCTCAGACTCCTCCGTGCAGTACTGATTTTTGCGTTTTTTATTATGGCCGCAACCCCCACCAGACTTCCACCCAGCAATCTGTGTAACGGCCATATCAAACTCTCTGCACTGTTTCACCTCCTTACCCTCCAGCACAAACCACGAGGCGAACGAACGACTGCCAGTGGCCTTCGTCCTACCAGAGGACTTCCCCCGCAGCAAACATGGGAGATCAAAACATATCATCTTGTGGTCACTCCATTCAGTGTCTCGAGAGTCAGGAGGGTGCGCATACATAACGTGCAACTTAGAACACATAACATGAGTCTCCCAAGTCACAGGACACGCAACATAGTCAATGACGTGCTTAGTCCTAGCACCTCCACCACGCCAGGTAAACTCACGGTCAATGAATGTGTTGATCAGCTTCAGACGTAGCTGGGCCATACAAACACACCAGGCACGCGCACATGCACCCTGCAACACATCCCTCTGCCTCTCCTCCCTCACAGTACGCTCGTTCACACCACCACCAGAGATACGAAGTCGATCGATCTCAACATGAGGCTGCACTTCAACATTGGCGTCGGCACAGACAACAACATCATGAATACTATACTTTTGACGCATGCGCACCACAGCACTCGATAATTCAAGAAGAACGTTCTGGTACAGATGGAACGTGGCCTGGTACCCCTCAGACGTTGTCCCAAAGAAACCTTGCTGAGGAAGATACACGCTAGCATAGATAAATGCGCCCACTTCTGGCCCTCGGAAGGCACAGACCGCAAATCTTCTACCAGCAGCGTGTCCCAAGAAACAGGAGTTGAGAGAAGACGAGAATAGTACACCTGCTTGGCCCTCAATCGAGCCACTGTCAAGCTTCACTTCAGCTGAGCTGCGATAGTGAAAACCAGCCTCATTCAACGTATCACGTCTGAGATACTGGCACTCCTGGAGCCCGACAAGTTGCACTCCCAGCTCACGCAAGTAAGGAAGAGCAGATAGGGAAGTAGCATCACTCATCATTCTGATGTTCCAACAGGCCGCCCTCAGCGGGCGGGTACGTCGTCACACGGAATCTCCATTCAGCAGCGTCTGCCAGGGCCCAGGAAGGATCTTGTCATCGAACTCAATCACCGATTCAGGCCTCAGAGTCCAACCATGCCTGGGATCCCAGGTTCCCAAACAGATCTGCCCACCGGTTTCAGGATAGCCCCAAGCCCAAGACATCACAGGAGACCCATACTGAATTTTGACACGATTGTTTTTCTTCAGCGGGTTCCTCACGCGGAAGTATGTCGCTGTAAGTTTACTGCCAGCCCTCACCTGTCCCTCACGCCAAGGCTCACACTGCACACGAATGCCGATGTACGACTGAGTAGCAGGAAGAAGGGAGTCATCTCTCCAAAGGGGACCCGTGCGCGAGGAAATAACTTTCCAGAACTCCTCCCTGACCTTCCAGACAGTCTCCTTACTCGTGCCATGAACGAAGAAAATACGCAGCCTAAAGACCCCGAACGGCTTGCCCTGGTACTCTCTATTGATGGCCTCACGATCAAAGATCTTCGTATTAACCTCAAACTGCGAGCCAACTTCATCTAAGAGAATCTGGATAACTCTGGTGGCCCTGGCCTCTGACATGATGTTGCTCGTGCGCGCCTGGACATCCCGAGGGTCACCCGAAGTCCAGCCCGAGAGCGTCAAATATCCAGGAACAAATGGGGTTGTGCTCCTGGGTCCTGCATTGCCTCCAAGACTCACACGAGTAGATACAGAGGCAGCATCACTGGCCGCACCATCATTTCCTACCGTCGCTAACTGCTTCTGAACCTGAGCATTCACCGCCTCCTGCTGCTGCTTCTGCTGCTTCACCTCCTCCCTAAGTTGTTCGAGGTCAGACTTCAAAGGTGCAACCTCCTGCTTGATCTCCTTCCTCACCTCCTCGTTATGTTCCGTCAGAGTACATTTGAGCATATCTGCCAAGTTCTGAAACTCATTACGCAGTAGACCAATAGTGACAGGCTCTTTGTCATCCGAAGCACTCCTACCACCTATCCCAGCACGAGCCATCTTGGAGGACCTGGATGCATCCCCCACCTCATTTCTCTCACTGATCTGCTTCATGGAGACATCGGCACAAGCAGCGGCAGCAGATGCAAAAGATGGAGCATGCTGCATCACAAGTTGCGGTGGATGGCCAGCAGAAGATGGGTCTGTCGACATAGTATCTGCGATACGCCCTGCCTTCGATGCTTCCAACGCCGAGAATAGATCACGTTCGTCCTGTGTCGTATGCTCAGGGATATCGTCCCAGCCCTCAAAGTCCCAGTCGTCTTCAGAAATAACAGCCGTGATTGCAACACAACAAACACAAAGTGGCCCCAAGAGAAAAACTGGAATACAGTGTGGCCAGCTAGCCACAGTTTTTTTTTGGGGAGGCTGACCAGGCACCGAGCGCCCCAGCGCCCGTTAAGTGCCTACCTAGTCTCTCTGCAGCTGGAGGTCTTGGGCCACCTGGACTGCGGCCCGCAAGAGGCCCTCGAGACCCGAAAGCTCAGCGTCAGTGATACTGCTATGGGAGGGAGTGCCTGTGCACAACGCCCTACTATTTCCCATATGATTGGACAAGGAGAGGAGGCTTGGGGGAAGAGGGAGACTACACGAGCTCTCTTATCTCTATGCTCAGGGTCAGGGTAAGGGTCATGGAATCGAGGAATATATCCAATCTGCAGAAACCAGCCAACGCCCACACCTTGGGCACACACTCCGCCGTCGAAGGATCCGCGGAGGCCAATAACTCGAAAGTTGTCTCGGACATCAGAACGAAAGATATGGTGGTGGAACAGCTCTCTGAATATCTGGCCTTCCCGTGCTAAGTGGGTAAGTTCATCAGCTACTGTGTTACTCTCTCGATATATGTGTCGAATGAAGTCGTTGCCCCATGAGGGGGGTCGTATTCCTTCCTCCTCCAACTCTTCCAAAAGAGAAATAATATTTGCCACCCGCCTACGATAAGAAGCCCCATCTCCTCCTTCTCCTCCCTCAACCTTCCAGAGACCATTGATCCAGTTACAGATAAGAAGCGAATCGCCCGTCAGCTCGAGACCGATCCCATCATCACTCAGATCCCAAGTCGGCTCCTGTTCATTGTTCGAGGCCAATCTCTGGGCCAGCTTCTCGGACTCCTTCGCCGACAACGGACGAGCCAACATCTCCTCCCCCCTCTCCTTTATGTAGTCTCCTCTCCCTCCAGTTCCTCCACGGACAACAAACAAGTCAAACAGAGACCCCAAAGTACAAGCTTCCAGGAACTGCCTGCAATACTGAACGAAGTCAGAGTAAGAGAAAGAGCACGCCCTCCACCACCGATCCTCCAGATTCACAAACGAGGGAAATATCGTCTGGAACATGAAACACCAAGGATGTTCACCCGTCGCCTGCCCCTTAGTACTGCCTAATCGTGTCAGTTTCGAGGCCTCCTTCCACTTCCACTGTGAACGCCAATATTTTGACTCCAGTGTCCTTTTCTCCTCCCACCTCGGGGTACAGCACATCAGAAGCCGGCGTGCGTCACGATGCGCACGAGGATACACCGTCTGTTGTCCAAGTCCAGGAACAGCCACCCTCCGACGTTTCGGGGGGGACCTGGGGGAATCCCTAGGCCCCCCCCGCTCACAGGGAACTTCAACATCTCGAGAAGAAGAGGCCCTATCAGAGGGCATAGCAGAAGAGACCATCCCATGCATATCTGAAGAGACAGCGCCCATCCCATTCGTATCTGAGGAGACTGCGCCCATCCCATTAGTAACTGCAGAGACAGCACCCATCCCACTGGTAACTGAAGAGACTCCCACCATCCCATTAGTAACTGAAGAGACCACACCCATCCCACTGGTAACTGGAGAGACCATCCCATGCATATCAGAGACAGCACCCATCCCACTGGTAACTGAAGAGACTCCCACCATCCCACCAGTAACTGAAGAGACCACATCCATCCCACTGGTAACTGGAGAGACCATCCCATGCATATCAGAAGAGACCACACCCATCCCATTCATATCTGAAGAGACTGCACCCATCCCACTAGTAACTGAAGAGACAGCCCCCATCCCATTGGTAACTGAAGAGACCTCCCCCATCCCATTGGTACCTAGAGAGCCCGCGACCATTCCTGGGCTCAGCTCCGACTCAGGAATCTGATATCCGCTGTCGACATTAGCTCCAAAATATGATGCTATGTCAGCTCCAAGCTGCCACAAGGAATAAAGAACTCTCTGCACTGCACTCTGGCACTTTGCTTCAAAGAACATCCGTCTAGCAATTCTGAGTCGAGCTGGCTTCCAAACAACCCAACTTTCGGAGGCTGGCTTTTGGGGTGACGTCATCTGGTAAAGACAATTTCCCTCAAAGACATTCAGGCTCTGCAAGGAGTCCCTGTCCCAACTAATACCTTGACTTCCATAAATGAGAATGCTCTGAACCCGAGTGATATAACTCCTACACTTGGCCGAAAACGGGACTGCCTTTGATCTAAAATAAGCTGCATGCGCATGGAAGGCTCGTCGCGCGGCCCCGATCCGCCGCCGAAGGTCCTGGTGTGCCTCCCTATAGCTACAGTATATGCTGTTCCCCAAGACATTCATCTCATCAACTACTTTGAACGGCACCATCTGATCCTGAACCCGAACCAGGATAGGATGTTTTGGCTTCTCCGAGAAACCGATAAACGCGACCTCGAGCGACTCGATCTTCCATTCGAATCCCCATCCCCGCAGAGTCTCTGTCATGTCTCCTACCTGTCGCCTAAACTCCTCCTCCGAAGATCCCAAGATAAAGATGTTGTCGGCATATAGCAAGTGGTGTACAGGAACCGAGGCCGAAACTTCTCCCACCGAGTTTGGATCCAGACAATGAAACCCAATCCCCTGCTCATCCCAAAGCTTAAATAAAGGAGCCCACATCGCAACGACTATCAGGTTCCACAAGGAGGGGCTGTCGTTCCCACCTGTCCTGATGTGGGTATCAATTCCCACATCTGGCAGCTGCAGCCCCTGGAAGAGAAGCGAAGTGACCTCGCACGGCATAGGCACGAGCACACCGTACTGGAGCCAGGGAGGGATAGAGAGGACGTCGAACGCACGTTTGACCGTCGAGATTTTCGTGTTCTGGAAAGCTTGTTTCACATCCGCTGACCCAAGAACCAGACGTCGATCCTTCCCCCACTGTGAGGCGTGTTGTGCTGCTGCCTTAAGTCCTGCAAATATCTCAGTGCATGATCTTTTGGGAACGAAACCGAATAACGATGCATGAGTGCCAGCCTGGAGACAATATGGTTCAAGCATGATCGAGAGACAAGTACTGTACCACTTCTTAAAGATACTCTCCACAGAAATACGTCTCGTATCAGAAACATCGCATATCGGATAAGATTTGGGAAGTAGTGTCGTCAATGTTTGATGCCAAGAAGATGGAGGTACAACAATGCCACGTAAGATATCACAAAATAATCGCTTAATAGTGCGAACGGCTCTCCACGGAAGCGCTTTGATTACTTCTGCCCCCACCCCGTCTGGTCCCGTGGCTTTTCCAGGGTTGAGTCGAGCTCGGGCCCGAAGGACACCGCCATCGTGAGCGTCGCCTCCTGGGGTCTGGGGGACCCCTGGAGCTCCTCCCTGAGGCCCTGGACAATCTTGATCGACCGCCGACGCTCCTCCTCATCCTCGCAGACCTCCTTCAACTTCATCATCTCCTCCATCCACCTCTCCCTGTCCACGCTCTCCCCCCCCCTCAATCTTCACCGCCTTCAAAGCTGCTTTACGTGGACGCTCCGCTTCCCATTCCAGCTTTGCTCGTTTGAATTTTCTCGCTTCCCGATCTCTTTTTCTGCGTATAAGTCGATAGGCTAACGTCCCCCTCTCCGCCCTCCTCCGGTAGACCTGCACATCCAAGGACCGCAGCAACTCCGATCGTTCAGGGGGTCGAGCTGGGCGCTTCGGGGTACTTTCGGTGGCCGACGCACACGAATAGATAACACTCTCTGCCTGACACATAAGTTGGCACGAAAATAGATTGGCATCCAACAACTGGCGACACGATCGACGAGCAGACAAGTTGAGTGGGTCCCAGCCTTTCAAGGTTCGAGAACGTCGTGAGAGATTCCGACTCGCCGACTCCCTGGAAGCCACTCTCAGAGAAGCTCGAACAAGGGCATGATCTGATAATCTCATCACGGCTCCCTGCTGCTGTCCTACGTACAGAAACTCAACCGAGCACCCCGACACCTGCTATCCATGAGGAACAAGGATGTAATCCAGCACTTCACGGCGGGACCCCTTCCGATAATCAAACCAAGTCGGCTTCCTAGCTCCAAAAGAATTCGAAGCACACATACGCTCCTGAACCAACCCATCCTCCACCTCCTGTCGCAAGCTCTCCACCTTCTCCTTCCTCTCCCGCTCCTTGGTCCCCGTGGCCTGGATCTGCACTACCTCCAAGCCTCCTCCCGAATAAACCTCCTCCTCATGCTGTAAGTGTGGCTGTATCTCAACATTCGCATCCATGGCAACAACAAGACGACAGAATCCATAACGACGGCATACGTACTTTCTGAGCAAGCTCACCGACTGGAGTGCACAATGTGATATCTCCAGAAACTC